AACCACCACGCCACCGTGCCACCCACAGATGCACCCACATATATAAAACATTATACATAGTCAACTGAAACACGTATATATGAGAAACACATACGCATTTATATACACTGCTGTGTCTTATACACATATGAATGAAATGAAACATTTATATGTATCTATCTGATGGCTGTCAGAGCCATATTTTAGTTGGTAGGAATTATGTGTATTCACTTAAACTATTCAGAGTTATTTCATTCATATTTGAAATAACTCTTTATGATTCATTAGATTCACCTGACGAGGGTCAGTGGATAAGAGGAGGGGGGGCTGAGGCACGGGGGCTGGCTTTTGTCTTGGACGGGACATCGGCACAGACTTTTGACCTCACGTTGTCCACTAATCATGTTAATCGTGTTCAAATGAAACGACCAAATGTAAAACTTAAATAAACAACGTAAATGAGAAGTATTGAGTGGTTTCTATGGGAGCGACAACAACGTGTGTGTCAGGAAGCGAAGTCCTGGGCACCAAAATGAGGAAGTGCAAAGGTCGGCCACCACACACGCACATATGAAAAGGTTCTATGTATATAGTTGAACACTTATACATTCATAATCTCTTGAGGATTACAAAGATATAAAAAGTTACATATAAGATACATATGCAAGTGTTTACATATATTTATGTAAATGTTTCAAATGTGTATTTATTACTTTTTCAGTTATATGTATGTATGCTCTCACATGAGAATGTGCAAGCGTTTCACATGTATTCATACGAGTAATCTCACTAGTGAACATTAGAGCATCTCGCTAGTGAACATACGTTGCATCTCGCTAGTGAACATAAGAGCATCTCACTAGTGAACATAAGAGAATCTCCCTAGTGAACATTAGAGCATCTCGCTAGTGAACATAAGAGCATCTCGCTAGTGAACATAAGAGCATCTCGCTAGTGAACATAAGAGCATCTCACTAGTGAACATAAGAGCATCTCACTAGTGAACATTAGAGCATCTCGCTAGTGAACATAAGAGCATCTCGCTAGTGAACATAAGAGAATCTCCCTAGTGAACATTAGAGCATCTCGCTAGTGAACATTAGAGCATCTCGCTAGTGAACATAAGAGCATCTCCCTAGTGAACATTAGAGCATCTCACTAGTAAACATTAGAGCATCTCACTAGTGAACATAGGAGCATCACACTAGTGAACATAAGAGCAGCTCACTAGTCAACATTAGAGCATCTTACTAGTGAACATAAGAGCATCACGCTAGTGAACATTAGAGCATCTCACTAGTAAACATAAGAGCATCTCGCTAGTGAACATAAGAGCATCAAAGTAGTGAATATAAGAGCATCATACTAGTGAATATAAGAGTATCTCACTAATAACATTAGATCATCTTACCAGTGAACATAGGAGCATCACACTAGTGAAGATAAGAGCAGCTCACTAGTGAACATTAGAGCATCTTACTAGTGAACATAAGAGTATCACGCTAGTGAACATTAGAGCATCTCACTAGTGAACATAAGAGCATCACAGTAGTGAATATAAGAGCATCATACTAGTGAATATAAGAGTATCTCACTAGTGAACATTAGAGCATTTCACTAGTGAACATAAGAGCATCTCACTAGTGAACATAAGAGCATCACACTAGTGAACATTAGAGCATCTCACTAGTGAACATAAGAGCATCTCACTAGTGAACATAAGAGCATCTCGCTAGTGAATATAAGAGCATCATACTAGTGAACATAAGAGCATCTCACTAGTGAACGTTAGAGCATCTCACTAGTTGTCACACAATAGACCACATCATAGTTTATTTTAATCTTCACTGCATGTTTAATTTAACCTTCACTGCATGTTATCTAACTCTCCTGTCATTTCAGATCCTCCCACATCATCAGCTCAGTACCCACACCTCGATCTCCTTGCTCTCACCTGAAGCACATCCCGTCATCAGCCACTCACTATTTAAGGCCATCACATTTGTTTGTTCCCTGCCAGATTGTCTTGTGTACATGCCAAGTTTTTCTTCGTTTTTCCGATTACCAATATCCCGTCCTGACCTAGCCGGCCTTCTCTTAACCACGAATCCTTCGTCTGCGCCCTTTTTGGACTTGCTTGCCAGTCGGTTTTCCATCCTGTTTCTGAACACTGCCTGTACGGATTTCCTGCCTGCCCCTCTGGATATGTTTGCCCATTGGACTGCTATTCCGGTTTTGACCCTGCCTGTATAAGTAAAGAACTTTTGATTGGATTCTGCCTCGGAGTTGTGCTTTTGGGTTCCTATACCTGTTGCCCTTACACTAGTGAACATTAGAGCATCTCACTAGTGAACATTACATTACAGGTCATTTAGCTGACGCTTTTATCCAAAGCGACTTACATTACATTTTAAACCCATGGCTTTTTCACATTTTGCCCGGGGAGCAATTAGGGGTTGGGTGTCTTGGCTCAGGGACACTTCGACTTTAAACATGTGGCAGCCGGGACTTCAACCACCAACCTTGCGGCCTTTAAGAAAATGTAGAAGTCAGTGTGTTCATTCACGTTCAGTCTGGTTTTTACTTCTGCTTCACAAAGCGTTCTTCTCTTTTTGAGGTTTTGACCCAGACTTTGGGGCATATTCTCACGCTGCTGTCAACTCCTCCATTTTTAAAATAGGTTTATTTGGGAGGGAAATTACCCATTAAAAGCTTCCTCTGAATGTGTCAGAGTTGTAACAGTGATTTTTTATCTGTAGCCTCTGAACCGATGTTACAAACTCATCGGCTTTGCACTACGGAGCCTTTACAAAACACGCAGAGAGAATAAAAGAAGAGAGAAGATGAAAATACGTAGACACGTGACTCAGGAAGCCCTCGTACTGCTTCATCAACACCATGAAGACATGAAGCACGGAGGCTCACAGAGACGCAGCCAGTAAACGAGGGACCATTCTGACAGAGACACGGACAGAGAGGAGATCAAGCTGCATGGTTACACGCTAAAAACATGCAGGGAAGCATGATGACTGAGTGCAGGGGGACGAGGGCGGGCGAGCTGTCGTCATGGTAACGCGCCGTTTGACCGGCTGTACGTTGGTACAATCACACACACACATTTCTATCTGACGCACACAAAGTAGTTCTTAACACACACTCGCTCTACAAGAGTCCATCATGTTAATAATCCATTAATCAGCCCTACAGCTGCTCAGTGTGTCTGCTCAGAGACCTGGGGGGGCGTATCCCAGCATGCACTGCACGACGGGCGTGAAAACACGAACACGAGGAACCTCAACAGGCGGTGACTTCATCCGCCCGTTCATGTGACACCACCAACACAACAAAAGAAGTCAACATGTGATCAATGTGAGATGGACAGCGGGAGACTTGAGGGACACTTCCTGGTCCTCTGTGGAGCTCTGCTGCTGCAGATGTTCACAGTGGGACGGCCTTCTGCTTTAACGCGTCACAGCACCTGAAGGAGGCGACTCTTCCTGACGCCACTGAAGCTTGTTGAAGGATTCACGCCGATAAAAAGAGACAAACAACAACGTGTGGCTGCACATTTATTAACAACAACAACAACAACAACAGACCAAAAGATGAACCTGCTGCTACAAAGATAAACTGAGAAACATCAGCTGTGCAAGTTCAACATGGTTCTAAGTATTGATGCAAAGTGCAGAGAACCAGCACCAGCACTTTGACCCTGCTGGTCAAAGGTAGAAACAAGAAGAAATAAATCAGGAAGCTGCTGATGTGTAAATCATGAGCGTTGCTTCTCTAACAGATCACAAGGAAACACACAGGAAGTTATGAACAATCAACAGTTTGGTCCTGACGTCTTAATTCACACTCAAAGTATCTATTGGATCCAATAAAACACCTTGAAGCTGAGATTCTGCTTTGAAGAACACAACACTTCAGAAAATAAAACCTATTTTCTGTAGAAATGAAAACCTTGAATAAAATCATAGTTGTGAAGTAGAATCCTACATGTTTGTATGTTGATGAGCCACTTGATGTCACATGTAGGAGCATCCAGGAACCTTCTGGAGAATGAAAGATGAGACGTTTAAACAGACAAAGCTTTCTGTGAGCAGATCCTTGTTCTCTTCTCATCACACTTCACTGATGTCCATCCTTTGTTCCCGAGAGAAACGGCACAGTAACCTTCAGCAGGAGGTTCTATCCAGGAGCTGAAGGAACAACATGATGTTCAGATGAAACAATGATAGAAGAAATGATTCATGATGTTAAAGAATGTGTCACTTACGCGTTCATCAGATTAGTTCCATCGATCCACTTCCACGTCCCTCCTTCAACCCTCAGGCCCATCCAGTACCCCTTAGATACAGGGATGTGTGTGATCTTAGCATCGATTACGTTCTGTGAAAGAGAAGAAATGACAATTTACAAAGATAAAAGAAACCAGAGAAATAAAGTGTTAATTTGTAGTAAGTTATTAAAGTGTCTTGTGTGTCTTTATAGAGAAGAGTTGTGTGAGGTTAAGTAAAGGTCCCAAGGATGTAAGTACTTATTTATATTATTCATATTTATATGTTGTTACCTGTAAACTAGTCCTACAGACTCAACTACAGAAAACCATTTATATTTAATATTTATATCATAAACGTTCCCTCAGGTCTCTCATCACCTTTTCCTCCTCATCATGAACAACAAACAGATCTGCATCCCTTCCTCTGCAGTTCTCTCGAGCTTCTTCCCAGGTTTTAAGATCAGAAGGAGCTTCACTGTTATGAAACACATAGCAGCTCTTCTGGATATGGTACCAGCCTCTCTGACAAGCTGAACACGTTCTCACTGAAAGAACAAAGAACCAACAAACAGCCTCAGTGTGATATGGTTATTGGTTCTTTGTGGACTGATTAATGTAAAGTGATGATACCTTTACTTGTATCTGCTGGGCAGTAGGAGTCGATGGTCCACTGAGCTCTGTTGACATTGAACTTCTCCCAGTTGTCCTCCAGGTCTGTGATTTGTTTTGTGAAGTTCTCCTTCAGCTCCTGGTTCTCTGTCTTCAGCTCCTGGTTCTCTGTCTTCAGCTCCTGGATCTCGTTCTTCAGCTCGGTGTTCTTACCTTCTGAGACATGATAGTGTTGCGTCATGTTTTCCAGCTGCAGCTTGAGACTGTTGAGTTTCTTTCTTGAGTCTTCCTTCTCTAAGTTCAGCTGCTCACTGAGGTTTCTCAGCTCTTGTTTGGCCGCCAGCAGGTTTTCTCTTAACTGGTTCATCTCTGTTATGTCATCACTTATTGTAGTAACTGAAAATGAAATTTGGACTATTTATTAATGGTAATAATATAACTTGGTTTTGGTCAATTTTACTTGTCCATCTTGTGTAGTTATGAAGGATCATGAGGCTCATTGATCTGTTTTTAAAGGAAATCAATGGCACACACACACTTTTGAGATACAACAGAGCTCACAGGACTTGTTAGAAGAATATAGAATATCTATTCACTCATCCTTTCATTCCTATTATATAACGTCTCCAATACATGTAACTATTCAGTAATCTGAAGCAGAAGAAGTTCTTCATTCTGAAGTTTAATTTGAACTGTGGATGTATAAACATCCAGGTGAGATGAATCTATTCTGTTGCTCTGTGCATCGCTTCAGGTTAACTGTACTCAGCTCCTGGATCTCTTTCATCAGCTTGACGTTTTGTTCAGAAATGACGAAAGAAACTGAAATATGATCAGAGGGAAGTGTTGGTCTCGTTGTTTGTTTGGATCCTTTAAATAACCCATGTGACACAGAGGTGTTTCATGATCATGGCAGGTGTCACACTATGGGTGTTCATGCATGCAGCCGTCTTTAGACTCACTGTCTCTGGAGTCACACAGATTGAATCCTGAGCTCTAAAGGTTGAAAACTCCTCATGATTGATTGGTCTTAGATGAAGCTGAGAGGAAGCCGGCGTGGACTCGCTCCACCCAGAAGGTACTCACAGTAGATACGAAGGCCCATGATGAGCAGCAGGAGGATCCAACACACGGCGAGCAGGGGGAGAGACGGAGAGGAGAAGAGGAGCCTCCGGTCTGACACAAACATCACAACAAGGGTGGAGGTCATGGTGCTGCTCCAACACTCAAAGGGCTTAAATACATGACAAGCACATGAAGTGGGTGGTGTTCAGCGTGCACCTGGGGGGGCTTTGTCCTCAGGACGTACTGGTGCGTTCACGTATTCATTGTCCTCAATGACTCCCTCTGAAAGAGAAGACAACAAAGTGTTCATCACGAAGACGCCAAAGAGGAACTCTGGAATCCACTTCTACCGTCGGGATGTTGTCTGAGGTCACAGCGTCACAAGCAAACATGCAGCTGTAAATACTTTATCTTTGGCCTGAGACCTTTGTCACCTGTTCACCTGTTCACCTGTTCAGCCCGAGCTTCACCGGTTCGGAGTAATATGTGTTATGTTATGCAAATTAGTCCAGACCTGAAGGACAGCCTGTCCTCCAGTAGATGATATTCACTCAAAGCAGAACGTTCCCTGATTGCTGCCCACGCACTGATCTGTCACACAGATGTGTGTTCAGTCTGCTACCTCCATGTTTTATGGGGCTCGTGTTAGGTTCAAAAATGAAGAAACGCCGGACGGACAGAGGTCATCGCAGATCGAAAGGTTCAAATCAAATGTATTTAAGAAAGGAGATGGTGTTGTGGTAAAAAGAACATCTCAGCTGAGGAGCCGCTGGTCTCAGCAACCAACAGGCCCCAGGTCAGTCCTTTTGACCCCCCATAGTGCCCGTCTGCCGCCTCCACCAGCGAACTCCAGAACAATGGTTCCTACAGGTATTTATAACGATCCGTGAAGGTGTGGAAGTTAGTGTCCACTCCTCTGGGAGTCTTCTGGTGAGTTCAATGGAACTCGGATTTCAAATGTCTCTCAGTCAATACCAGTAGTGCAAGTATTACATGCATGATTCCAGTTAATTACATTACATTAAATACAATCATATATTTATGGTGACATTTATATGTATCTGTCTTTTGTGTAATTATGTGTATTAACTTAAAGTATTTTTTCATTCATATTTAAAATAACTCTCTTCATGATTCATTAGATTCACCTGACGAGGGTCAGTGGATAAGAGGAGGGGGGCTGAGGCACGGGGGCTGGCTTTTGTATTGGACGGGACATCGGCACAGACGTTTGACATCACGTTGTCCACTAATCATGTTAATCGTGTTCAAATGAAACGACCAAATGTAAAACTTAAATAAACAACGTAAATGAAAAGTATTGAGTGGTTTCTATGGGAGCGACATCGTGTGTGTCAGGAAGCGGAGTCCTGGGCACCAAAATGAGGAAGTGCAAAGGCCGGCCACCACACACGCACATATGAAAAGGTTCTATATATATAGTTGAACACTTATACATTCATAATCTCTTGAGGATTACAAAGATATAAAAAGTTTAGATACATATGCAATGTTTACATATATTTATGTAAATGTTTCAAAGGTGTATGTATAACTTTTTCAGATATATGTATGTATGCTCTTACATGAGAATGTGCAGGCGTTTCACATGTATTCATACGAGTAATCTCACTAGTGAACATAAGAGCATCTCACTAGTGAACATCAGAGCATCTCACTAGTGAACATTAGAGCATCTCACTAGTGAACATTAGAGCATCTCACTGGTGAACATTAGAGTATCTCACTAGTGAACATTAGAGCATCTCACTAGTAAACATTAGAGCATCTCACTAGTAAACATTAGACCATCTCACCATTGAACATTATAGCATCTCACTAGTGAACATTAGAGCATCTCACTAGTGAACATTAGAGCATCTCACTAGTGAACATTAGACCATCTCACTAGTGAACATTAGAGTATCTTACTAGTGAACATTAGAGTATCTCACTAGTGAACATTAGACCATCTCACTAGTGAACATTAGAGCATCTCACTAGTGAACATTAGAGCATCTCACTAGTGAACATTAGACCATCTCAATGGTGAACATTAGAGTATCTCACTAGTGAACATTAGACCTTCTCACTATTGAACATTAGACCATCTCACTAGTGAACATTAGAGCATCTCACTGGTGTAAATGCATGAAGTCTCACCAGCATACTGAAGCATCTCCGTTACACCAGAAGAAGGAAGCAAAGAGTGCAGGTTTTGAACAGTGAAAAGCGCCTTACGTTCTTCCTAATATGCTTTTAAGACCGGACTTCTGTCCTTGTGTCGGTCCAAGTTTATAAATATTACTATTTATGTCCCAGATTGTAGTTTTAGGCCTGTTCTCAGCAGGACTTCTGTGAAACGCTGCGCTTGTATCCACTTCTCCGTAGTGGAGATTAAAACCCTTTTAATGCACAATGATACTGTGGATACAGACAAGACGTTAAAGTTTAATAAACATGAAGTTATGAATCTAAACTCTGTCCTCAAAAGAGCGTAACAAAACCGGTGAACAAACACCAGACTGACAACAGATTAAGTTATGAACACTCAGCCTAGTTATAGAATAGTTAACATTATATCTCATGTATAATAATGTATATAATGTAATCTCACGTATACCTGCTTCATCCGCTGGCTTTCCGCTCATCGTGAACAGATGTTCAGAGTCCTGATGCAGATGTGGATGAGTGCTGATCCGCTCTGAGGCTCTTCAGTGCACTTCTGCTCTGAGCTGGTGGCCGTGTGGGTATTTAAATCACTTTGCCCCCCGCTGCAACTTCCTTAATTATGATCTGAGCTGATGACAACTTCTGGTCGTCTATCAGTTACATTCTTCGTTGTCTTTTACATTTTGTCTGTTTTAACTTACTTTATGAACTAGTGATGATAATGTATCTCAGGTAGCTGCCTTCTTACCCACACACACACACAATACAATGATAATATTGCCTTTGTCACACCGCGCTGAACTGGTTGGGTTTGTTTTATTTTGTCTGGTCTTTTTTGTCTTGTCATTTCCTGTTTTATTTTGAAATAGTAACTCCTCTCGTTTCAGGTCACTTTCCCTTCGTCACGTGTCACCAGTCTGATTGTCTTCCTGATTCCTGATTGTGTCCTCCTGTTCCCCATCGCCCTCCACGTGCACTAATAGTCTGCGTCTCCATTTGTCCTCTGCAGTGTCCTCGTTTCCGTCCTCGGGTTCATGCGTTCGCTCGCCATAGTTTACAGGCCTGGAGAACCACGTCATCGTGTTCTGTTCCATTGTTTCCTCCAGGAGAGTGATGCTCATTTTGTGTCATAGATGTAGTCTAATGGTTAATGTTTCATAGTGCTTTGTTTCCTCCGTAAGGAGAGAATTTAGTTTTAATCTTTCATGGTGCCTCCAGTTTTAAGGAGTGTTTGTTGTTAAGCGAAGAGTTCTTACCTGATATTCTGATAAAGTTAAAAGCCTTCTGGTTTTCCTCCTCGAGTGGAGCCACTTTGGGTTGTTCATTTTTATAGCCACACTTCTTCCTAAATGATTTATTGGGAGAAGTCTGATCTAGATCCTTTTTATAGCTGCTATTTATTTTCTCTGCCTTGGAGATCCAGTCTCACTAACAAAGACTACAAATCCCATGAAACCCTGCAACTGTGTCCTGTGTTCTGCCGGGTCGTGACAGGCTTCCTCAAATTTGTTTTTATCAGAAAAATTCCAGTTGTCATTATTTACCCATGAAAGTGCGTTTTTTTGGTTTAGTTTAACTTTGGCTTTTTAAGGAAGGTTTAATTGTGTATTTGGTGGATAAGAAGATTTCCTGAAAAGCACGTTGGTCACTTTTAGATGTTCTTAAATGGCCTTTCTGGTAGACGACATATTGAAACGCTTCTGAGTAAGTTTCCTTGTTAAGAGTATTAAAACATGGTCGGACAAACCAGTCAGCACACACACTAAAAAAGGTTGGGTTAAAAATAACCCAATTTGGCTTGTTTTGTATTATAAAATTAACATATCATAAAACATCCACAATATAAAATGAATTGTAAGTTTTAATCACTATCAACAAAATGGGGCTGCAACTAATGATTATTTCCATTATCGATTAATCTGTCAATTATGTAAATCATTAATCAATTAGTTGTTGTGTATAAAATGTCAAATGTTGAAAAACCACAAGATGACATCCTCAAATCTCTTGTGTCCACAAAGAGACACTCAGTTTATTATCATGACAAAACAAGTAACAACTAACCGGTTTAACATGTTTACTAACCAGCGGCCCTTGAGCCTCTACTTGCAAGCAAGTAATCGACTTTGGAGGAACTTTACTAACTTGGAACCCGCTCCTGGCATTTTATAAACAGCAGCCTGCAGGAATTCCCACACATGTTCCCATTGCTTCGGGTATTTGATGTCCATCACAAAGAACGCCTCTAAGCAGACATCGATGGCCTGAAGCGGCGTGTCGTGTACCAGAGCCTGTCCAGCAATGATGACGAAGGCCTGGATGCTTGATGCTTGTCGTTTCCCAGAGTCAGGACATACGGGTGAGTCTGGATGCCTTGGCCTCATGAAGGTACTCGAACATGTTCCTTCCAGGCTAAAAAAGAAGATAAAATAAGATGGAGCTGTATTAGTATAAGGATTAAATTTAAAAAACATTTTGATGAATACAAGCAGGATAAAACGTTCTTACCGTGGCAGCTCCTGATCCAAAAAGGGAGTGTTCTTGTGTCACTGTGGGGTCAGGCGTTGGTGGCTGTGTGGGGTTACCTACGCGCTTTTGCAGGGGTTTTGCAGACTTCTGTGGTTCAAAACAACCCGGCTGCTGGGTCAACCGATGGATGTTGGGTCGATGAATTTTGACTCAGCGCATGAGTTGCACAAAAATAACCCAACCCCCCTATAAATGACCCATAATGGGTAGAACATGTCATAACTCAGCGTTTGGGTAGATGAAATAACCCAGCAGTTTTTAGTGTGTACTGTGTGTTTTGATCGTTCTTTCTGGTTTATTGTTTAAAATCAAATGAATCTGGGACGGAGAAGAGTGGCTTATCTTTGTGGGTTTGTTCACTAACTGGGTCACATTAAAACTATCAGTTGGCCGTTTTAGGGATCTTGTTCCAGACTTATCCTCCCAGTTTACATTAAAATCACCTCTTTGTCAAAGTCACATCCCTTTCACATGGAATTAAGAGGATGATAAGATTCACATCTGGACGATGACGGTCTGTAGAGACGGATTAGAGTCAAAGACATTCGAGATGATGCCAATACGCTCCAAGTTGACATCAGTAGACACTTAATGTGGCGGCAGTGAAGGTGTTCTTTAACGGAGATGGACAGCGGGAGACTTGTTGAGGGACACTTCCTGGTCCTCTGTGGAGCTCTGCTGCTGCAGATGTTCACAGTGGGACGGCCTTCTGCTTTAACGCGTCACAGCACCTGAAGGAGGCGACTCTTCCTGACGCCACTGAAGCTTGTTGAAGGATTCACGCCGATAAAAAGAGACAAACAACAACGTGTGGCTGCACATTTATTCACAACAACAACAACAACAACAGACCAAAAGATGAACCTGCTGCTACAAAGATAAACTGAGAAACATCAGCTGTGCAAGTTCAACATGGTTCTAAGTATTGATGCAAAGTGCAGAGAACCAGCAGGCAGCGCCCCCTGCTGGTCAAAGGTAGAAACAAGAAGAAATAAATCAGGGAGAAAACAGGAAGCTGCTGATGTGTAAATCAGATCACAAGGAAACACACAGGAAGTTATGAACAATCAACAGTTTGGTCCTGACGTCTGAATTCACACTCAAAGTATCTATTGGATCCAATAAAACACCTTGAAGCTGAGATTCTGCTTTGAAGAACACAACACTTTAGAAAATAAAAGTTTTTTTCTGTAGAAATGAAAACCTTGAATAAAATCATAGTTGTGAAGTAGAATCCTACATGTTTGTATGTTGATGAGCTTCTTGATGTCACATGTAGGAGCATCCAGGAACCTTCTGGAGAATGAAAGATGAGACGTTTAAACAGACAAAGCTTTCTGTGAGCAGATCCTTGTTCTCTTCTCATCACACTTCACTGATGTCCATGTTCTGGTCCCGAGAGAAACGGCACATTGACCTTCAGCAGGACGTTCTATCCAGGAGCTACAGGAACAACATGATGTTCAGATGAAACAATGATAGAAGAAATGATTCATGATGTTAAAGAATGTGTCACTTACGCGTTCATCAGATCAGTTCCATCGATCCACTTCCACGTCCCTCCTTCAACCCTCAGGCCCATCCAGTACCCCTGAGATACAGGGATGTGTGTGATCTTAGCATCGATTACGTTCTGTGAAAGAGAAGAAATGACAATTTACAAAGATAAAAGAAACCAGAGAAATAAAGTGTTTATTTGTAGTAAGTTATTAAAGTGTCTTGTGTGTCTTTATAGAGAAGAGTTGTGTGAGGTTAAGTAAAGGTCCCAAGGATGTCAGTACTTATTTATATTATTCATATTTATATGTTGTTACCTGTAAACTAGTCCTACAGACTCAACTACAGAAAACCATTTATATTTAATATTTATATCATAAACGTTCCCTCAGGTCTCTCATCACCTTTTCCTCCTCATCATGAACAACAACCAGATCTGCATCCCTTCCTCTGCAGTTCTCTCGAGCTTCTTCCCAGGTTTTAAGCTCAGAAGGAGCTTCACTGTTATGAAGCACAATGCAGCTCTTCTGGATCTGGTCCCAGCCTTTCAGACAAGCTGAACACTTTCTCACTGAAAGAACAAAGAACCAACAAACAGCTTCATTGTGATATTGTTATTGGTTCTTTGTGGACTGATTAATGTAAAGTGATGATACCTTTACTTGTATCTGCTGGGCAGTAGGAGTCGATGGTCCACTGAGCTCTGCTGACATTGAACTTCTCCCAGTTGTCCTCCAGGTCTGTGATTTGTTTTGTGAAGTTCTCCTTCAGCTCCTGGATCACGTTCTCCAGCTTCGTGTTCTTACCTTCTGAGACATTATAGTTTTGCGTCATGTTTTCCAGCTGCAGCTTCAGACTGTTGAGTTCCTTGTTCAGCTGCTCACTGACATTTCTCAGGTCTTGTTTGTCCGCCAGCAGGTTTTCTCTTAACTGGTTCATCTTTGTTATTTCATCACTTATTGTAGCAACTGAAAATGAAATTTGGACTATTTATTGATGGTAATAATAACTTATTTGCCTTTAAATGTCCCTTTGGTTTTAAAATAATTAGTTAGAAAAGATCCTTCAACATGAGGCTCATTGATCAATGGAGACTGGAGATTAGTCTCTGACACTCACTCATAAATTAATTTCTATTAAATAAAGTCTCCAATAAATTAAACTCTTCAGTCATCTGAAGCACAATAAGTTTCATTTGTGAATATAAAAACATCCCGTTGCTGCTTCTCCGATGCAGAATATGGCGTCAGATCCCACGGAGTGAGAAGACCAGGGCAGATGTTAGAGACCAGGGGGGTCAATGAGGGGGGAGGAGACTCACGGTAGATAGCCACGCCCACGAGGCCCAACAGCAGGAGGACGCAGGCGATCGCCAAGCAGCCGACGGGCCACAGACAGCGCTCACGGCCTGCCAGAGAGACGTGAGGATCAGAGGACGGCCCAGACCCCCCCTTCAACCCGCTCTCCCCAAGCCCCGCCCCCAAGCCCCGCCCAAGCCCCGCCCCCAGGGCCCCGCATGCACAGGAACACATTTTAACTGTAGGTGTTCATCACATGGCAAGAAGCTCACCGTGTGCGTCAGCAGATCGTTGGCTCGCTTCGCTCTTCACCTTCACCTCGTCGTACACGGTGTCGTCGTTAGCTGAAAGGTTAAAGGTCACGAGGTCATTGATGAAAGCAGACATTAGTTCATTTCCAGCATGTTGTTATTAAAAGGTGTATAAATGATTCAATGGATGAGGTGTGAATGAACCCCTCTGTAGAGCCTCAGTCAGCCCCCCCCCCTCTATCACCCCTCCCCCTCCCTGTCTCTGCCAATCACAGGCCTCCTCATGAGGGCCAGCCCGCCCCCTTAAGCCTCCATATCATGGTCTCTATTCACTCTTAGAAGTGACTGCTGCTGTTAAACATCAAAGAATCGTTCGAATATCTGAGCGTCTTTTCTCCTTCTGATGCTCTGAGTGAAATGAAATGAAATGTTTTCTTTAAGATGTTTGGCTGCAGCTTCATGTACATTTTCTTTCAGTTATTGTATTTATTTTTCCTGCATAGATCTGATTAATCAGCCTCAATGAAGGATGATACATACGGTTCTTTTCTCCTCCTCATGAGAGTTTGATATTGTAAGAACACAAAAAATAGAAATTAAATGTAAAGATTTGTCTTTCTTCTGGTTCTATTTCATAAATACAACACACCATAGTTTATATATAATATAACTATGTATGAAGGTATGGAAGCTGTGATGTGACACGTAGTTAAATCTCCCCCTAAACGCTTATTTCATCATCTCACATCAACCAGAGAAACCTTCAACACGGTGATGTGTTTGTGCAATAATATATATGTATATAATATAATTATATATATATATTTATATATATATATATAATATATTCCATTTAAAACACACTCTTCATCATCAGATCTCAGAGAGCTGCAGAGCCACTAGAACGTAACTTCATTCGTTGTTCCTTCAGTGTTCTGCAGCAGATAAAAGTGAGTGAATGAAGACGTCTGAGAGCTGATCACAGATCAGATGGAGACTCACACCAAAGTGACTTCAGCCCATGATCAGTGACACGTTAGTGAACCGGGAAACTGCATCTGTCAACATCTGTTTCAACTTCAGGATCTATTTAAGACGGCAGATCATCACCGTCGACATGTGGATATTCAGATCCATCACAGCACAGAGGGGTGTTCATCTGATCGACCCTGACCCCTGACCTCTAACCCGACCCCCCCCCACGAGCGCTTTTCACTGAGAGCATCGTAAATGTTCGGTTAGAATAAAAGGAGCCAGGAACCAGCTGCACGGGGGCTCTCACACACCTGCATGGCCCACTGGAGGCGGACTCACCTGCGGCCGCAGCGCTTGTCGTGTTGCGCGGTTGGTCGGACTTGAAAACCACCGACGCGTAGTTGACGTCCCCCTCCGCCATGTGTGCAGCCCCGTCCCGCAGCTCGGACTGACGCTGGACGGAGGTCGCTCACAGTGAACCACGGAGCATCCTGAAAGCAGAAGAGGAAGCTCTCTCTCTCTCTGCAGCTTAGTCCATCAGCGCAACCTCCGAGCCCAAACTTCTGCTTTGTGGTCTGGAACATTTGCATGCGACGGCGTGCTGGAACTAGAGAGCCGGCGGGGGGGGTGTGGGGGGTGTGGGTGGGTGTGGGGCCTTGCAACGCTTCAGTTTGGCAACCCGGGAGTCACACCGTCACACCGTCACACTGCACGATGCGAATCAGGCTGCGTGAGTCAACAATGAAACAACCTGTTTACAACAAGCTGATAATTCCTGTCTGAACACCTTAAAGCAGAAATATAAAGAGTTCAAGCGAAGGTCACAAAGGATTCACTTCACTAACTTCCTGCTTCTTTCTGTTAAAACATGATAAGTGAGTCGGGGAGGGAGGTGTGAACCAACCGCACAGACCAGCGAAGCTGTGAAAGAGACAACATGAAACTTCACGTCACATCAGGGGAGTCGATGTCAGCATGAAGCCTTCGCTCTACACAAACGCCTGTTTGCTTCCTGTCTGATTTTGTAGTTTCCTGCCTCGTTGCACCTGTTAGCTTCACTTCCTGCCCCGTCCTGTTGTCCCCTGTGATTGTCTCACGTGTCCCTGACTTGATGAAGAAGCCCGTCTGTAGAGAGCAAAGGATGTGAATTCACTTCACAATAACCAACAATCGCGTTTCATGCGTTTCTTATGAACTCATTTCCAGTGTTCCCTGAATGATTAGCATGATATATTCTTACCAGCCTGCTGCAGTGCATCATGGGAGATGTAGTGGGAAATCTGCTCGTCTGTTTTTACCAGAGGAAGCTTTTAGATTTTATGATATTTGGTTTTATTTAGAGAGCAGCTCTCCTTCAAAGACGCTTCAACTGTAGAAAAGGGCTTTTATGACAAATCGCCGTGGTGACAACCTTTGACCTCTGTCGGACCGTAACAGAGACCCCCACTAGGTGGAGACGGCTACAGACAAGACGTCAAATCATTAAGCTCCCGTAATGTCTCTGCCTCAGACTGCCCCCCCTCACCCCCTCACCCACTCACCCCCCCACCCACTCACCCACTCACCCTCCCACCAGAGTGACCGTTTCTTACAGTGACTCTGCAGAGATCATTTCATCAGAGGACGTAGAAACCCTCCGTGTTGCGTCATCGGCTGGTGACTTTTCTCTACTGGGTGGTACGAGTCGGCGCTGCGTCCCCTCGGGGCCAAAGACCATTTATTGTATTTGGAAAGACGGAGACGAGCGAGGACGAGGAGAAAGTCGCGGGTTGCAAACTAGCTGATTTGTGATCTTAAACCTTCATTTATGATTTTTCTGTAAAAAGGGCCAGTGGGGAGAGAGTTATCGGTGGAGATCTCTCTCTCCCCTTTCCCATCTCTTCCAGCCCCCCTACTCCGCCCATCTCCTCCTCCTCTCCCCTCCCTTCTCCCTCCTGCAGTCTCCTCCCTTTTGCATCCCTCCTCCCCCCTTTCCATGTGTCCCTCCGGTATAAAAGGGAAGCCTCACACTGCCAGAGCCTCACAGGAGCCTCTCTGGCTGAAGAACCCCCCCGAATCCCCCCGCCCTGCACACACTGACTCGGGCCTGGAGACGAAGACCCTCAGCAGCGTCCCTCTGAGTCAGGCCTCCATTTGCCAAATCCTCTGTTTCCCAACACTGACATGGAGCTCCGAAGGGGGCATCGATTCTTCCGCCCCCTGGGGGAGGACAGGCCCCCCATGCTGGACCTGAACCGACGCCTGGAGACCTACCTGGGCCGGGTCCACCTCCTGCAGGAGGAGAACGCGCTGCTGGCCGAAGAGATCCGGGCCCTGAGACGCAGCGACCGGGGGGCCCTGGAGGAAGGTGTGCGGCGGTTGAGGCTGGAGGTGGACGCCGCCTGGCGGGAGAAGGTCCACGCAGAGCGGGAGGCGGGCAGGGCGGCCGAGGAGATCCAAGCCCTGGAGCTGCAGAGGCAGGAGGAGGCGCGGGCCCGGGCGGAGGCCAGGAGGAGGCTGGAGCAGAGCAGGAAGGAGCTGGAGGGGGAACAGTGGGCTCACGTGTGGCTGAGGGAGAAGGTCGGTGAGCTGGAGCAGGAGATCAAACATCTGATTGGAAGCCATCGGGAGGACATGGCCGCCTTGACCAAGTCCAGAGCCACTAGGGCCCCCACATGGTCTCAGAGGGGCACCCAGGCAACACACCTCCTGCAGCTGGGGCAGGAGTACTCCCAAAGGGCCACCAGGGCCTGGCAGGAGGCAGCTGAGGCCCATCGGGGGCTCTTCAGTCGCCTCGAGGACTCACTGAGCGAGGCCAGGGGCCGTTTAACCCGAGTGGGTCGGGAGAAGAGCGAGAGCCAGCTGAAGCTCCGGGCCCTGGAGGAGGAGATGGCGTCGGCTCGCGACGCCAGGAGGCTGCTGGAGACGACTGCAGCCCAGCAGGCAGAAGGACACAGACAGGAGATCCACCACCTCCAGGTGAGAGAGGCACATCCTGCTCATTGTACCTGCAGACAAAACAACAGTTTCATCATTGATTCAGCTGCTTACTCTGTGAAACGTTGAAAAAGAACAATTTACACTCATCACCCGAGCTGCTAATGGCCTCATTCATGATGTGGGACGTGTCAATAATCCAAACATTACTATGAACTTCATATGAATACGTGAAGTCGTCCTTCTGTGAATCGATCAATACTCAAAACTTATATTCTACCACTTGAATTATTTTGATGTAATAAAAACAAAAAGTAAGCAAATAAGGAACTTGTGAGCTGAAAAACATTGCCACCTGTCATCAGATGTCTCTCACGTTGTCTGACATCCTCTTTGTGGCTTCACAAGTAAACAAGGTCAGAAGCACAAACCACAGTAAGATGTTCTCATCTGATTGAGTAAGACAATGACATTTCAAATACTTCAATAGTAACAACCGCACGCCATACACGTGCATGTACGTGTCTTCTCTTGGCTGATGTGGTCATGTGCCAGACGTCGCAATGGAGGCGTTGAGCAGCGCTGGTTCCTCCCCGGGGGGCCTGCAGGGATTAGTTCAGGTTGTGTCCTGTCCTCTGCAGGAGCTGTCGGCTGGCCTGCAGGCTGAGAAAGAGGAGCTGGACCACCAGATGGAGCTTCTTCTTCTGGAGAGCCGAGGCCTGCAGCAGCAGCAGACGTCTCTGGGCCTGGAGGTGGTGACGTACCGGTACGCCGCATCCGTCACCACGTACCTGTTCAGCCTGTGCAGGGCTGAGGTATCCCAGCATGCATTGGGTGAAAGGAGGCAGAGACAAAAAGTCCCCCCCCCCCTCGTCAAGCAGCCCCATTTACAACGATGATGTCCTCGTATTAACCACGGAGACAGGAACGGGACATGGTTAGCCTAGCTTAGCACAAAGATGAGACACTGTGGAACCAGTTAAGCTGTCTCTACATCCATCAGCCCCCGGAACCTCCAACACGTTTGGCTGCTTGCTTTTCCACATGTGGTGCGTTCCACCACTGGTCCTCCGGGTCGTCATGTCGAGTGTCGGCCGCTCATGTTTGCGACGTGTTCACCTTTCATCACATTTACTTCCATTGCTTCACTGCGTTGCAACACACACGCGTTGCCCTTTAGAGCCGGAGGAAAGTCTGATGAGTGTAAATAAATACTGCATCCATCCTCTTTATTTCATCCCACATGTGCTGTTGGCTGTTGACGGACTCAACGGACACGAGTCCCGTCCTTCTTCTTCTTCTCTTTTCCATCAAACACAATGAGACGAATGGGGGAGCAGATAGATCACAGAGCAGTTTCCTCTTTGTGTCGTCAGGGACTTTTTGTAATGTATGTAGTCACATCGCTGTGGAAAGAGAAGCTCTGGCTTCTCACTGATTTGTGCGTGAGGAAGTGATGGTTTGTGCGCTGCAGATGCTTCCTAACAACAGTTGTTGTCCCCTTAACTCGAGTATCAAATGTCTCCATGTCCCCGTTCCCTGTGTAAGCTGCTTCCTCTCGTTGTCCGTCTCCACAGAGCTCTGCTGCCGAGCGACGGCCTCGGGGGCGGCGTCCCTTTGTTAAATCAGCCGAGACGCATTTCCATCACAGGTAATTGAAGTGAAACACGTGATCGGTGCTTCTAGCCGCTCTGCTGGTGGTAATTGCATTAGACTGTGTGTCTGGTGGGGGGGGGGGGGGGGCCCGGGTATGGGAGCTGGGGGGCGGGTAAAGCAAAACCCCCAAAAAGAACCCCCAAGGGCCATTTTGGTTAAAAAAGGGTTAAGGGAAAAGAAAATCAAAAATTCCCCGGCGGATTCCTGATTCTTTGGGTAAGGGGGGTTGTCCCCGAGGTATGGGGGGAATTGTATATTTAAAGATGATGGTTCTTTGGGGGTTACTGTTATTCTTGGATCCCCCAATATCTTGGGGGGGAAAAACAAAAAAAAAATATCCGGTGTCCTTTTAGCTTCGGGACACAACCCCACCTTTGTAGTTGTGTCTGTTTCGATAGAGAGCTACCGGCACCCCGCATAAGCTGTTGGGGAAACACTTGGATGCCCACCCATGGCGA